ATCAAAGACAATTTCCTGTTACTCTGATTGTATGTTTGCAGTTATTGTTAGAAGGAGAACCTGCTAGAAGAAGAACCTCTACTATAGTTTGTTTTCTTGGGGGGAAAAAACGCTCATATATTTAGCTCTATTCACCTCCCTATCAGGTTTGATCCCCTCACCTGTCCATAACATAAAAGACAATGGCTAGACCACCACAGTTCAGCTTAAACTATCAGTCAGTTTAAGCTGACTAACAATTTTAATTCCCAGCTTTATAAACGTGGCAGTTTTATTGAATGATGGCAGAATGAACGCTAAATAGAATGCATGCTATATCACATCATTTTAGTTCCATTTTATAATTACTGCCTCAAGTTTGAGGGCTATGAATACTTTTGTAAAGCACTGTACTGAGGTGACAATATAACTGTATGCCAATCATAATATTAATGAAATTATTATGAAACTATATAATTATTAATCTAGATAATAACTATTTTTCTTTTGGAAACCTAGACCTCTCGGTGTCTGTTTATATATAGGCCAGGAAGGAAGTGACCCATAAACATATCCATCCAGCTCTTTTATTGGGGGCCAGAGCTGCCCTCATCCTAGTCCACACACACACCCTTGACACACACACCCATCGAAGGCCCCCAGTGAGTGTTAAGCAGGCCAGCGGGCCAGCCGAGGGGGCTCATTACAGGTTCACAGAGCCCCCCAACACAAAAGGCCTGAGCCGCTTTAGCCATGGGATGATCTGCTCTCTACTGACTAGAGAGAGTCCATAGACGGACAAAAGACGGGAGAGGAGGAGGGGGAGAGGTGGAAGAGAGCGGAGGAGAGACGTGGAGAGGAGAGCCGCGGGCTTTAAGGATGTCAGGAGACCCCGAGAGAGAAAGCCTGGCGGGCGCTCAGAGAGGAACGGAGGGAAGGAGGAGGAGGAAGCTTAAGCTCCACGGCTACGTCAGGACATTAGCATTCACACAACCTTCCAACATCTGCTGCTTCCACCCTACCCTCCATCCATATCTCCCTCTGCCCACTACCAACTCTGGAACAAAGACAGGAGGATGGAAAGTGAGCTGAGACACAGAGAAGGGTCAAATTAAATAAAGCTGTAGAGAAAATAAATTAGAAGATTTATTGAAAATGTATCATTTAAACATTTGACTGGAAGATACTTAACAGCTGTTGGTTGACTTTTACCAGCTAAAGCTATGACTACATAAAGGTTCAAACTAAAAAGATGAAGGAGACGCCTCGAACAAATATGGGATTTATAGTCAGGCATTTCTGGGTCAATACCGTTCACCAGTTTTCATTCTGGGGATGGTAACACCTAGAAAATACTGCAGTTTCTTTAATATATGTAGAAATAAAAGTATTAAAATAATTCCTGAATTATTGATAAAGCTTTATATCCCTGCGCCTTTAGCTGATTGTTACTATATAGTCAAATTACATGTCATTTACCGATACATTTAAAAGCTGAAAAAAATTGGAGTTCTTAATTAAAATTATTATGATAAGCAGAAGGGAACATTTCAGTATTCGAACTTCTGTCCCTAAAAAAAGAAAACATGAAACCGCAGTTCAAAATGAGCAACTCTGACATGCTGCTACTGCAGAACTGCAAAACTATAGGCCGATCTCTAACCTCCCCATTATCAGTAAGACTATTAAAAGATTATTAAAAATAACTCCGCCACTAGGCAAACTGTGGCAGTATGTGGTTGGAGCAACCAAGCTTTCTTAAAGACAACATGCCAATGAGGAGGAGATGGAGTGAGGATCCACAGCCCGAAAATGTCAGTTTCAGCTTTCACAAGAGACTGGCTTATTTATGGAGATGGTGCTAAGATAAGTGTACAGCAAATACGAGAACAAACACAATTAATTTTGCTGGCTGTCAATCTATAAAACTGGAGTAAATGCCATATTCACTGGATGTCCATTGCTGTGAAGATTCTAATATCTCTGCAGTGTGGGGACTACAAATCTTATATTCGTCATGATAGTACTGCTGCTGAAGCTCCTCGATAATGTTATTAGTACCCAGAACAGAATTGAGAAGTCCGACATCCATTATTTTCCTGCTTTGTGTGTAATATCGCATGGTTTCTAGGTGATAGAGCCTATGGTCAGTGAATGCCGAAAAAAGGCTGGACCTGTTTGAATCAGTGGCCAAAACTCTTCCGGCCTCGAAGAACTGGGTCCAGATAGACCGGGTCTGTCTTGGAAAATGTAGCCACTGAAATGGAACATACCCCATATCTTAGGCTCAATCGAAACAACACAAGCCACTCCGACTGTGGCTAGGATGAACCTTTGCTAGCTGAAGGCTATATCAACTAAAACACACAAAGATGAAAATATTGTTTTGCACTGCCTATGCTATTGGAAGAAAGGCTACGCTTTTATTTATGGACAATATAACAAATAAAAATAGTTTGCTGTATTTTGAATGGTTTTAATTATGGCTTATTTAGCAAATAAAGGCAAACCTTTTGAATTAAATTTAAGAAAATTGCAAACTACAACTTTATTTAATAAAACTACATAACCTTTTACTGTAACTTGGTTTGCAACCAACATAATGCCTTTGTGAAATAATATTTTCCTTAAAATATATTACGGCAAATTATTAATATTTTTCTGGCTGGTAAAAATATGCTTGGCTGGTAAATAACCATCTTTTGGTCTACTTGGTCGGTGAGTCAAATAGTTAATTTCAAACCCTGTTAAAAACACCCTCCTAACAATGGCTGGCTGCTGTGATGTCTTCCAGTCAGACCTCCATGCTCACCACAGTACTCAGGTGGTCCTTGTCAAGGTGTTCAACAGCATCCTTCTAAATTCAGACTGTAGAAGAACCACATTTCCTTAGTGCAGCATTCAACACTGCAGATCACTCCATTTTATTAAAGCATCTGGATACTGGGTTGACCTCTCTAGTACAGCACTGGCTGGTTTAAATCCTACTGGAAGGACAGACTTTTTTATGTCAGTGGATAACTCCACACCAGAGACCAAAAATCTCTAAAACAATGTAGAGAACTTTTTGTAAAACTCCTTCAAAGCTATAACCTGACTCTACAAGTTGTGTTTATACTCAGGCCTGTTATACTCCTTCTGTTGGAACAGCATTTGACTGGATCATAAACCCCTTTTTCATGAGAGATAAAGAGGAAAACCAGAAACTCCACAAAACATTAAACCCCCGGCCCCAACCCAAGCTTCCTTTCTGCAACTGTCTTACCCAAAGCACTCAGAGCCACGATATTAAAGACAGGAGCGTTTTAAGAAGTTAGCAGAACATTAACATTAAGGTTGGATGGAGAGGTTGGGGTGTTTCATAAACCTATGAATACATACTGAATCAAACTTCTTTAACTTCACAGCAATGTAGAAATTTAATTTTCCCCGCTTAAAAAAAAACCCTCCTCCTATAACCACATGTAAACTATGCTGAGTACATTTCAAGCATGATGGACTACATAATATATGCCTCACAAAAGCTCAATTCAGCAAAATCAGATCAAGGGATGGCAGTGTTGTTTTGGGCCTTCACGGCAGCAGAACAAGTTTTTAAAGAGTTGTGTATGTAGCTAGCGGGTGCTTTATAGATGATGTATAGATGCCTGGTCCTTTCATATATTTCCTGTGGTGAAATTAGAGCTCTATTCTGAAGTACCCTGTGTATGTGAGTGTGTGTGTGTATGACTGTAAACATGAAGACATCTTTCTCCACAGTCAATCTCTGCCTGTCACATCTGGCTCGCAACTCTACCCTTCGAATACACACTGGAATATATACACTGTGTGCATGGTGACATCCATGACTTATGTACTTGGTAGGAGCGTTTGAAATTAAGCTGCGGTGAATATGGGCCCAGGAGCGGTCAGAAAGGAGGGAGTGTGCGTCTGCAGTCGTCTGAGTCTGTATGTTGAAGATAGATGTAATTGGTGCGGGGAGGGGAGCATGAATTTGTGTGTGGGAAAATGGCAATGAAACCAAGTCAGATTCACAGCACATGTATTTCAAGTTTCAATTTCAGAAACTAGCTCAGAAGTCTTCAAATTCTCTCAGCTTCATTTATCTTCTCCACTAAAACTTGTACAGTATGTTTTTTTTACAGTCCATCAAGCTCCAACCTCAGTTTTAAACATGTTTGATTAGATTTTATAGAATAAACTGGCAGAAGTAACTGTAAACCACCAAAGAACTTGCCTTCCATCGAAAGTGACAGCCTGAGGAAATAGATCGTTAGGATATTTGTCATTGATGATGTGTGAGTTCATTACATCCTAATATTAGCTGCCTGTTGAGTGTCAGATCTAATGTTTTTCCCAGTAGTTTATCTACTTAAGACAGTTCCTCTGTCCGGGTATACAGTTTTTATCTTCATTCTGTAGGTGGCAAAGACTTAGGAATGGAATGAAAGTTTTGTCCTGCTTTTGATAAGGCTGGAGCCATGGATGTCTCATCATCTGCAAACATGTATGATATAATGATGTTATGATTTGGGAGACTGGAGGTGTATAAAATGCTTCCTTAACTGTTTGTCAGGGCCACTTCCCGAGAAGTGAGCCCGGTCGGTAAGCAGCTGCCTTCTGTAAACCTAAGCAAGTCCCCATCTAGTCTGACCGAACAAATGAAAGGAGACTGGGCAACAATGGTGGTCTCTGGATGTATGGAGCTGGCAGAGATCTACATCTGTAGGTGTAGCACAAGGTGGCTCTACTACTCATCGTATTATTTCATTTCATTTTGTTCCTTTTTATATTTTCTCTTTCAAGGCCTGTCTATTTCTTTCATTACATGAAAATTATGTAATACTTTATTGCGATAAAACCCAAGTGATAAAGAATTATGTTGGTGGCTTTAACTCAACGTTCAAAAGGAAATTAATACATTTGGGAAGTGCTGCCAGTTTGACAGATAAAAATGCACGTTAACACACATTCACCAAGTTAACTATAAAAAAAGACAGGGAGGGATTTCATGAGCTTACCTGCAGCCTGCAACACCAAATGCATTCGGACTTTAGCCTGCTCTGCTGGAGTCTGCAGGAAAAGCACAGAGACAAATTTCTTGGTCACATGTGGTCAGCAGGCCAGGTTTGTGAAAGGTGAATCAGCACAACAAAAGGGGACAAAAACAAAACTTCTCTCTTGAGATTAAAAAGTCAAAATGAAAGGTAATGCGCACAAAGCAATCATAAATGTTAACGTGCTTTAAGGAAAAAGACCAAAGACATTTTTTTTTATTTTTTTTATTCTTGTACGTTTCTCTATGTAACATGGCTTCTAAAGCAGGCTCATATCTGTCTTTGCCATCTGTGTTCTACAAGGTTTAGCAGTTGCCATTATTAAGAATAATATTGGGGATAATATCTCAAATCTACCCACTGACCTGTTTGCCATTGCCCTGTATGGCTCCTGGTTATATTTTACATATTTCTTTTAGTCAACATGTAGATTATAACATATATAAATTCCTAAATGTCATAAAATAATGTCATACAATGTATGGAACCAGATGTGAAGTTTATGTTAATAGACCTTTGTACTGTATATAACAGGTATTTGTCAGATTGACAGGATTAGTTGAACAGAAAAAGCCAAGTTTGGAAGGTGACCCAACTTCATACTCTCTTTTTAACTTCTTGATGCTTAATGTTAAGAAAAAAGTGAAATTGTACATAATGGTGTAGTAATCACAATTGAAACACTTTGTATAGCATCACCTGACACTTTACAAAGAAGTAACGAAAGGCTTTAGTAGCAATGGGAACATATGTGTATTAAACGTGTATTTAACTGGGAAAAAACAATAACTTTTGATTGAATTTCAGAATTCAGTCTTCAACTTTGAAAAAGAAACGATTATCAGATCACACATTTTTTTTTATTTTAGTCTTTAACTTCTATCTGTACTGGAATATATCTTTTTCAAAATGTTGGCAGCTTATCTGAAAACCAAACTCAACGTAGACATATTCACAATCTACAAACTGGAGACGCTAACTGTACTAATGGTGTTAATTGTTCATAAAAGTTGCTAAAAACCATATCAAGGCTTAATCTCAGCATTACGCTCCTAAAAAGAAACAAAATATTTCAGGGATACATAAAGAGCTAAAAAAATGTCTCGAGGGCCCAAGAGGTCAGCTACAGCTTCTAGCATTCAAGACAGCTAGGAGACATTCAGATGCTGGATTAATTAACAGTGCCAGTAAGATTTATACTCACATTAACTGTATATTAAGACAATTAAGAATAAAAAACAAATATACTTGTCAAGGTAATTTAAAATAAATTAGAAAAGCTCTGACAACCCAGTTACATGTGTATTAAACTTATGATTCAATTTCAGAATTCAGTCTTCCACTTTCAAAAATATATGGGCCAGCTTTAAACTTTATGCTGGGTAACTTTCAAACTAATTTACACTCTATTGCAGGTGACTGAAACATCTCTGTGACCCAGGAAAAACAAAAAAAGCAAAATTCAACAAGGCCTGATTTTTTCTGATGTCTAATCTACATATGACTGGATACCTCCGCCCCAGTCTGGTGCATCTCTGCTGGGGTTCTTGCTCTTATCTCCCACTGCTCCAGTATGAGCTCTAGAACGCTTCCTCATCTCACCTCACCTCTCATATCAGATTCTTCCCTGAAGCGAATAGTTTCAGGTCATACAGAAGCATCGCAGAAAGTGACTTTGATGCAGCCGCAGCTCGATCCTGGACTCCCCGAACTGGGGCCAAATCTGGGGATCTGGCCAAGGGCGCGAGCATTGCTGTTAGCTTTTCTATAATAAATAACACAACATGATTAGCTTGGTCAAATTAAAGCCCACCATGCTAATTTAAAGACGGCAAGCAGATAGAAGCTCCTATTTGATGGTGCGGTGCAGTGACACGAGTGGAGCTAGTCGCCTGCCACAAAAATCACTGACGATATATCATGCGAGCATCATCACCCAAATGGGACAACTTTGTCAATAAAATTACGTATGGTGTGAAAACACGCTGACATAACCAGTCTCTAAATTAGACATTATAACTGCTTCATATATTATATTCTATTAATCTTATTTCTTTTATTCAAAAACGTAAAATGTTCACACATACTTCTATTTTTCAAATACGTTTATTGTGAGAATTATTTTTTTGTTTATTCAATCAGTATTTAAAAAAGCTGGAAAAATATATCGTTCAGATATTAAAATGCTTTTGTTTGAAAAAATTCAACATACCTGTACCTATAAAAAAAAAAAATATATATATATATATATATATATATATATATATATATATATATATATATATATATATATATATATATATATATATTATATGTTATGGAATGACCTACCTGATAGAAAAAGAAAATAATTGGGTCATTAATAACTTGCATCCCTGTACTTCGCGTATTTTTAAGATATCTTCATAAGCTGACAGATGACTATAAAATCCTGTTAGGACTGCCTACATTTGTTTAATTTTTATCATATTAACTATATTTCATGTGAGGGGCGAACTAAAGACCAAAAAAACGTTAGTTTAAGGATTTGTTATGCAACTATTTTATTTAAGCTGCCACAAACAGATTTTTTGAATAAATATTCACATTATCATCTCATTTTAACATTTAAAATACGACATTTTAACAGAGATGTGAACACTTCTGAGAGCCACTCAAGCCTCTAAGTTAATTTGCTTCTCTGAGTAAATCAGATCAAAAGTCGGAAGAACAATCAGCACATTTACTTTATAGCACCGCCGCCTGAGAGATCAAACACCGCAGGACAGATGCCATACTTACACAACTTCATCTGTGTAATCTTGTGATAAAACAGCTGTGTCCCTTAGGCTAAAATAAATTTCACCCAGGATAATCTTTAACTGACACTATTAAAGTGAATGTACCCATAAAATGTCCTCATAGAGCACCCAGGGACGACTTCAGCGAGTTACTAACCTCATCATCAGCTGGGAGGAAAAACCTTGCTGGTGAAAAATAAAAAGAATGCTACAACTCTGACACACCAGGGAGAATCAATGAAAAAGAGATAAAGAGAAATTTAGAGACAAAGAACGAGAGCAAGAGAAGTGAGAGGGGAAGAGAGAAAACAAAAGCTGTTGTAACAAGTCTTTGGAGAGTTGGATAAGAGGGCACAGAGAGCACATTTTACAAAGATCACAGCAAGAGACTCAACATATTCCCCTTCCTGTTTTCTACGTGCATGCTTGTGTGTGCACGGGAAACACTTAGCAGGGAGCGAGCAGGGGAGGGCCCTGTGCTCTGACAGCTGTATTGGGAGGCACAGCTCTTTTTCCTGACATGGCCTCTCAAAAGGGTCTCGCTGTAATTCCAATATCATTGCTATTAGATTTGTGGGTCTTAATTGTCAAGAAAGAATGATGGCTATGACAGAGCCATAAAGAGGCAAAACGCTTTAGATTGCTCTTGGAAGGTTTTGTGGAGCTGCCGGGGCACAGCGGCCCTCGTTACCGTGCAGCAGCGGAGACGGTGTGTAGGATTAGAGAGAAATTAAATGCTAATGGGGATGGGATCTGAATCTGCTGCCTGGGAGCATCATTTAGACGACAAGGCCGGGGCGTCGCTGACAGGCAGCGCTTCCTCCCTCCTCCTCCTCCTCCTCCTCCTCATCCAGCTATTCCTCTTGCTGTTCCATCTTCTGACTCCTCACCCCACCAGCCTCAGGAAAATCTGAGTTATCAAACTGTAAACTTGTCACTTTGCCAAAACGTCAGTTTTCCAGTGGCAGTTGGGGGAAATATAATGACCTGCTTTAATGTAGTGATGTCAGGGCGCTGTATCCTAGATGGAACACACATCAAGGAATGCATGCAGACACACAGTGTAGGTTTGTGGTGCAGTGAGACAGCACACATGTTCCAGTGCTGCTTGACAAACTAAATTGGAAATTACGATTAAAATTATTTCTGCTTTCATGATAAACTGATTAGATTACACACTTTTAGCTCCTTTGGAGCTATCTTACTTGTTCACAGCAAAAACTAAGGATTGCAGGCAACAGAACGGCCCTGGATTCAAACCCACTCCTCTTGAGCTTAGCCTGCTGAACAATTACAACAACACACAACTCAGTCAGAGTGCAATCAGTCACCTTAAGCGATAACCCGACACATAAATACGTCACAATCATTTTAGTTACAACTTAATACAGTGAACACCCAGTAATTACATTAGCATTTGTTTACATTGGCCTTGAGGTATATGTAGATGATGTGTTGTAAACACACACCCACAAAGTGGGCTTTGCTGGTTGCTAAAGTGAGGACTAAACAGTGAATCGAAATACTGGTGCTGCTCCAGACTATTAGGAACAGCTCCAACAAGATTTCTGCTTTGGGTTCCAAGTTTTTAGCAATAAACTTTTAGTGGTAAAGCATCTCAGATCATAATTATCACTACATTTCATTAGTACTACAGGATCTAAATTCAGTGTTGTCCCAGTTCCTGCTCAACTACATCTATTTCTACATTTGGTTAGCTGCTTAATATTGATTATGTCATCATGTTTTATTTGTAACATTTGTTTCAAATATTTTGACCAATGAAATTAAGATTAAGTTGGTAAATTGGACACTTTTACAGCACTATAAGAATGGGTATGATCTTTCATAAAGTTCTGATTCTGTTTTAAGAGGCAAGTTTGCAAATTTCATGATAGGAAATTGATTTTTTTTTTTTATGGGTAATTATCTGTACCAGTATCTTAGAGAAACCCAATCAGTTGGCTTTAAGCTGCCTCTTCATTCCTTTGCAGTTGCAAATGCAAAGCCGTCTCAGGATGTCTAAGTACATGTCAATTAAGTTGAAGAAAAAAAAAGAAAAAAAAAAGAAATTACTTAGTTTTTTTCTATTAGTTGATATAGTTACAGGATGATGTTACTCTGTCTGGTAACATCTGGAAACTTGCGGGACCATAACAATACAATTTTAGATTTCCAATGTGGCATATTTCTCCTTTATTCATTAGAAAACAATAAAGAATTCAGTAACTTATCT